TATGCACAACCTATCCCATCTTGCACAAGAAGCACATTTATTACAATGATGAACCTACATTGACACTTTATTATAGCCCAAAGCACATGATTTACATTAGGGTTCACCTTGGTGTTGTATATTCTATGGGTTTTCACAAATATATAATGACACATATCCACTGTTATGGTATCATACAGAATAGTTTCACTGCTTTAAAAATTCTCTCTGCACCTACTATTCATCCATCCCTGTCTCATAAACCATGGCAACCACTGAACATTTTACTGTTTCCATAGTTTTGTCTTTTATACAATGTCATATATTTGGAACAGTACAGTATGCAGCATTTTCAAATTGGCTTTTTAAAATTAGTAGTATGCATTTAAGTTTCCTCTGTCTTTTATAGCTCCATAACTAATTTCTTTTTAGTGTTGAATAATAACATCCCATTATCTGGATATATCACAGTTTACTTATCCATTTACCTACTGAACAACATCTTAGTTGCTTCCAAGTTTTGGCAATTATGAATAAAACTGCTGTAAACATCTATGCTGCAGAGTTTTGTGTGAACATAAGTTTTCAACCCATTTGCTTAAACACCAATGAGTGGGATTGCTGGGTTGTATGCTAAGAGTAAGTGTAGTTTTGTAAGAAATTGCCAAATTGTCTTCCAAAGTGGCTGTATCATTTTGCATTCCCCCGGTAATGAATGAGAGTTCTTGTTGGCCCACATTAGCACCAGTATTGGGTGTTGCCAATGCTTTGGGTTTGGGTCATTCTAATAGGAGTGTATTGGCATTTTTTTTTTTTTTTTTTTTTTTTTTGAGACAGAGTCTCACTTTGTTGCCGGGGCTAGAGTGCTGTGGCATCAGCCTAGCTCACAGCAACCTCAAACTCCTGGGCTCAAGCGATCCTCCTGTCTCAGCCTCCCAAGTAGCTGCAACTACAAGCATGTGCCACCATGCCCAGCTAATTTTTTCTATATATTTATTTATTTTAGTTGGCCAATTAATTTCTTTCTATTTTTAGTAGTGATGGGGTCTCGCAATTGCTCAGGCTGGTTTCAAACTCCCGACCTTGAGTGATCCACCCACCTCGGCCTCCCAGAGTGCTAGGGGCATCTCTTTTATTGTAATTTGCAATTTCCTAATGAGATATAATGCCCAGCATCTTTTCACATCCTTATCTCCCATCTGTGCTCATCTTCATCAATGTGGTGTCTGTTTAGGTCTTTTGTTCAATTTGTTTTAATCATGTTTTTTTCATTTTTTTATTGTTGAGTTAATCATCTTATATCAAATATATCTTTTGCAAATATTTTCTTTCATTTTGTAGATTGTCCACTTATTCTCTCGATATTGCCTTTTACAAAGCAGAAGTTTTTAATTTTAATGAAGTACAGCTTACCATTATTTATTTTCATAGATTGTGCCTTTGGTGTTATATCTAAAAAGTCATCATCATACATAAGACTGTCTAGGTTTTCTTCTATATTGTTTTCTAGGAGTTTTATAGTTTTGCACTGTATATTTAGACCTAAGATCCATTTTGAGTTAATATTTGTGAAGAATGTAAGATTAATTTATTTGCCAATGGGTGTTCAGTTGTCCCTGTACCACTTGTTAAAAAGACTGCTTTTTCTCTATTGTATTGCTTTTGCTTCTTTGTCAAGTATCAGTTAACTATAATTATGTAGGTTTATTTGTGAACTTGCTATTCCATTTATCTATTTTTTATTCTTTCACTAATACTACACCTATCTTAATTTATTGTAGGCTTTATAATAAGTCTTGATGCCGGGCAGTGTCAGTTCTACAACTTTATTCTTCTCTTTCAATATTGTGCTAACTATATTGGGTCTTTTGCCTTTCTGCATAAATTTTGTTTTATTTATTTTTGTTTTTACTTATTTATTTTTAATTTCTTTCATTTTTAATTATGAGTTCACAGTAGTTGTTTATATTAAATATTTATGTAATACACATGATGTTTTGATATAAGCATACAATGTGTAATGATCAAGTCAGGGTATTTAGAGTATTTATCACCTCAAACAATTATAATTTTTTTGTATTAGGAACATTTGAATTCTGTTCTTTTAGTTATTTTTAAATGCACAATAAATTATTGTTAACTATAGTCACCCGATTTTGCTACTGAATAATAGATCTTATTTATGCTCTTTAAATGTATTTTTGTACAATTAACCACTCTCACTTTATCTCTTCTACCCTCCCCCCCACTACCCTTCCCAGCCTCTGGTAATCATGATTCTATTCTCTATCTCCATAAGTTAATTTTTTTAAATGTTTATCTCCCACATCAGCACCAGAACATGTGAAATTTGTCTTTCTGTGAAGAATTTCATTCTTTTTATAGCTGAATAATATTCTACTTTGTGAATGAATATCACATTTTCTTTATCCTTTTATCCACTGATACATATTTAGGTTGATTCCATATCTTGGCTATTGAAATAGCGCTGCAATAAGCATGGGAGTGCAGATATCTCTTCAATATACTGATTTCCTTTCTTTTGAATATATACCCAGCAGTGAGATTGCTGAATCACATGGTAGTCCTATATTTAGCATACCTTGTTGCAAGTAGCAGATTGGCAAAAATTTATAGACAGTGCACTATACAACCTAAGAATGTAGGGAAATTGAAAACTTCAATTTTGCCAGTGGAAAGGTAAACTTGCTAAAACATTCTGGAGATATTTGGTAATAACTGGTAGAAACACAAATACAAATATTGTATGTCTAGCAGTCATTCTCACAACAAAGCATAAACCCAAAAAATCCTTGCTACAAATCTGTAAGGAGATGTTAATAAAGACATTCATCACAGCGTTGTAATCCTTGGTAACAAAGAGGTGTAGGCAATCTACATGTACATTACAGGAGAGATAGATTATAAATGTAATATTTATATATGTGTGTACACATATATACACATGCACACACAAATACACTTATTTGAGTGTATATCTATATATGGTAAATGGCATGCCATCTAATATGATGAGTTGTATTACTACAGGAACATCTAAAAACCTAATGTTTAATAAAAAAATATATAATTTTTAATTAATTTAATTTATAATAATACAATTTTATATATGTATAACAATATAATTTACAGGACAATTCTGCTTATGAAAATGAAAACACACCAAACAAATCTATGTAATTTTTAAAAGATACATTTATACCTAAATCAGCATGATTTAGATGCTTTGAAAGATAGGCATTAGATTTACTAGAGAAGGTATCATGAGTTTTGTGTGGGGGGAAGTAGTCTGCTAGTCAGAATTAGCCAAAATAGAAATTAGTCTTATATGGAAAATGTAGCAAAAAATAAGGGAGAAGTTGAAAATACAAAAAATCTTAACTTATAAATTTGTACTTTTTCTGTATTGCTCAGAGTATTTATATTTATATTTGGTTAATTAAAAATAAAATCATGGATATGTTTGATAGCTTAATTTTAAATTCTATTTTCTGCCATAAATTAAGAGTCAGTATTTTTAAAACAAGCTCTTATATTAAAGTCAGTAGCAGCTACTCCACAACCATTTAAAATTGGCATATATATATTTTACAGCTTCATGCTTTAACATACCTTAATTTAATATTTTTAGCCTACGGCTGTTAGAGCACTAGTTTTCCTTTAATAAGCATACTTATAAAACATACATTTATTTTAATATATGTCTAGTACTTTTTCATTTACTATCCAGTCAAGAAAAATATTTTAAAGAAGATAAATTTAAAATAAGGAGCTTTCTTAAAAGTAAAGACAAAAAATTATTTGTTATATCTAATATTTTGACATTCTAATATAAAACATGAAAATGAGATATTAAAAGATCCATTGTCTTAATCCAATTCATTTTTTAACTTATTTTTCATTTTAACAGCAACTGAATGTAAACAGAATGAGAGTGTTTAATCCCTAACATTGCCTCTTGAGAGTTTTCCTTGATTTCAGATAGGATGTGAATACTAGATGACTCACTCAATATGATTCAGTGCCCTTGAGGAAGGTTGAATAGAATAGCTCAAACAGGGAGGATGAATTCCCTATAGCATCTCAGACTGTAGCATTTTTAAAAGCTGGAAATATTTTTCCACACAATTAGCACAAAATCACATTGTCAGGGATTTGCCTCCAGGTCATTAACTAATATGTTCGCTAACAACTTGCACAAAGTGGATTGAAAAAAATAAATTTTTCTGCCTGAGTCAGAACTGTGGTTTGGAATTAAACCGTTCTTACTGGATCAATTTCTATCAGTCATCTTCCACCTTTAGTATTTCTGTTATAACCCTGCAATGACATCCAGAAAGTGTGTTTTCTACCTTATCTGTTTATTTAATATCTAAATGCTTTAAAGATTATTCCAATTTTCCCTATATCATTCCGCTTCCCTTGATAAGAAAGAAGTGTGTCATTTATTATAAAAAGTAGAACAATATGTGTGCTCTCTATAAAATTTTACTTGTGTTAATGTAGTGGTATTTGTACTGTGTATAGAAGGACCATATTAAATATTTAATATTGTGACAAAGACTAAAACATAAAGAAAATAATGCATTATTAATGAAGAAAATCATCTACAATTCAAATTAAACTATGAAAAACATATCCCAAATATGAAATCTGAAAATAAGGAAACTTTAGGGATGACATTGTGTATTAGCATATAAATCCCACACCAAGTAGGATAAAAAATTTTCTAAAATCAAGTCCTAAAAGGCTTACATTACTGATCTTTCAGTGTAGATAAGGCATGAAACAATTTGGAAAATGTAGTTACAGGGGCATAATTCCACATTGTAGATAAACAATCCAGTTTTTATTAATGTTAAGGGACAGAGCCTAAGATTTTGTATATTTACTAGAATATTTACATTATTCAGAAGGATTAAAGTCATGGGAAAATGTGGATGTAAAGGAACTGTATGACTCGCTCACTACCAAAATAACTCAGTTTCATCATTCAACATTGTGGCTGTGGCAGATATTTAAGAGTGAGCTCAACAAAATTGCAAATCAATTGCTCCAAATAGTTAAAAGCCTGACAGCTCACAGCTGGTTCAGGAACACTCTTCATAGGATTGCCTATATTCCAGAGATGTGCAGGTATCCTGCAGTAAGTTGGGGGCTTGAATACTCGCTTTGCTCTCTTCTTGGTGCATTCACACAGGTCACTGACACTACTCTTACTGACATCTGAGGGGACAAGAAAAATGGCAACAGGCAGTGAGTTCCCATTGCCCAGAGTAACCTCCTGCCAGCTGAGGTTTTCCTCCTCTGATATTACTATCAGCCACCTTGAGAAAACCAGGAGAGAAACTATAGAAGTTTAAACCCTTAGGACCAGATGGAAAAAAGAAGAGGTCAGCACCTCATCTATCTCTACTGAATGAAATATTGTGCTTGAAAAAAATCTAACCTGAGCGGAGAATCTGACCTTGACTTAAGGATTCTCAGTAGTATTAGATACAGTATTCAAGAAGGACAGCAAGCACAGGCTGTTGTGACTTTTTAAGAATGGAAACCTTCCAAAATGTTTATTTTCCTTTTATATTTTTTCTCTATTGCACCTCTAGCATATCTTTTCTATAAGGATAGCATATCTAGCTATTCTATTAATTATGTCTATAAAACAATTAATATGTCTTCTTTGTATTAATTTTAAAAATTTTTGGAAGAGTAATTATTAACCTATTTTATGGTATATGTATTGCAATTTTCTCTCTGAATCTTTTTGTGTTATCCAATTTGCTAACAGTAAATTTTGCCATGTAAGAGGTATTTTTCCTTTTTCTTTGATTTTAAGTTAAAAATATATAAACCTTTTTCTCTATAGATTCTAGATTTTCTTTATTCTTTATGATGGCATAACTTTTATTTGTTATATTATAAACTCACAAATCCTGAAGTATGTGTGTGTGTGGTATATCTTATTATGGTGCTCTGGGATGAATCATGTCTCCTCAAAATTCCTATGTTGAAGTTCTGGTGACAGGTACCTCAGAATGTAACTGCACTTAGAGTAGGACCTTTAAAGAGATAATTAAAGTAAAATGAGATCATATGGGTATGCCCTGAACCAATATGACTTATGTCCTTATGTGAGGAGGAAGAGATTAAGACATGGACAAACACAAAGGGAAGTCTATGGGAAGACACAGAAGATGGTCATCTACAAGCCAAAGAGGGAAGCCTTAGAAAAACCTACTGACGACTTGATCTTGGACTTCTAGCCTCCAGAACTATGAGGCACAAAATTTGGTGTATAACCCACCAAGTCTTTGTTATTTGTTTTGGCAGCCCTAGAAAACTAATACATTTGGAAATAGATATAGATCTAAAGATATTACACATAGCCATATAAAAATATGTTGTGCTTTGGTGGTAGTGATGGTGAAAACTAGAGAATATACCTGATTTTACTTAGGTATATTAGGTGTATTAGGTAATTAGGTGACTAATTCATCCTTTGTATAATGTGTGAAATGACATATCATTTAATACATTTGCATGCATATTTAGACCTGGGTCTAATTCTAAACTCTATTCTTGTACTGTATGGAAAGCTGCATGTATGCTTGTCCCTGGAAAACCAATTTTGGGGCATGTTATCAGTGAAGAGGATTTGAAAACATGGAGATTGCGGTAAACTCTAACATTTAAATCTATGAAGTTTAACCTAATTTGAAAAACACTACTGTAGTGCTTACCTTGGTGAGGACTGGTTCAAGAACAGTGGAGCCCATGACTAGATGCTGTTGTAGAAGCCAACCAAAAAAAGGTTGCAATATTAATGATATACCAATAATTGACTATGCCCACTATAAGAAAAGAAGAAGCCAGTCTGTAATAACTCAATTTTCTAAGATTATAGTGACTCCTTTCCATTTATGTCAAATGAGCTTGAAGATCATCTTTTAGATTATATTTGTCAGAATTTTTCCTTAGTGGAATCCAAATACAGCTGCATTTAAATGTATTTTTCTCTACTTTTGCTATAATTTAAAGTACTTGCATTTCATTTTTGTCATATGAAAGCAACTAGTAATATCTATATCATCTTGTCTTCAGTATAAAGTAATTAATATACATTATATTGAATTTCTATCATTTAGTAATAGCATGATTATGTTTACATGATTGTGTATGCATAAAATTAAAAACTTATTAATGTTTTAAACATAATTAATTATCACTGAACCTCTTAGTTACTGATACTTTACTAATAATTTAATAAAATGTATTTATGTAAATAACATATATGAAATAGATTTATTTTATTAGTGCTATAAATGTACAAAACAAAGCAATATTTCATTGTCTAACTGAAAATGCCTGGACATTTCAAAAAAAATTAGACTTTTCAAGCAAATATAAAATAGTAATAGAGAAAGAAGACAAATAATTTGATCCATGAGATATTTATTGTCCCTATTGCCTCAATCACATTGCGTAGCAAACCCAGCTTTAGGGTCTAAAATTGTTAAGCATTTATCTGGGTCAACGAACTGGGGGTTGGTGATCTAGACTTGGCTTTTCTTTATTGTTTTTCTGGTCTAAACTGTACTCATGCACATGTCTGTGGTCAGACAGCTATTGGACTCCAATAGGATTTAATGGAAATTAAAGCTGCTCATCATGTGTCCCACCTAAAGCAAGTTAATCCAGGAATGCCCTGAAGGCAATAGCAGAGATAGCAGTGAGAATATGGAAATACACAATTTCTTTCAGGTTATGCTTCAGTGGACTGCTCACATCCCCTTGGTCAAAACAAGGATGGTAATTTAGCTGAGATTCAGTGTAAGAAACTGGAGTGAACACAAGAAATGGTGACAAAATAAAATTTTTTTCCATAACTTATCAAACTTGGGGAGTTGAATCCCTAATACCTATGAAGCACTTCATAGAAGTCCTTTAGATTACATTTGCTATGGCATTATAGGTTGCAGTGACTCAAATTTTATAAATGGAATTAGTATGTGCTTTTGTGTATGGGGAATAAAATCATCTAAGCAGATGTCATTTCACTGCCTCAGAGATATATCTTGAGTTGCTAGAGTTCAAAAATTAAAGGTTGGAGCAGAATCATAGGTAGTGTCATATATTCCACTTTAATATTGTTGAGTAAACCTCTTATTCTTGAGTAATTTTTTCAGAAATATTAATAATATGAATATCAAAATTATATGAATCATGATGATTATCATTTTTATTTAGCAAAATAATCAACCAGAAACACTTTCTTCTTTGATCAGTCGATTATGTTTTTGGCTTTTCACTTAGAATTTAATTTAGTTTATCACAATTCCTTTAGTACAGAATCTATAATTTCAGACAGCTCTAATATTTTCCTTGCTCCTCTAACTACACAGTGATTTCCCTTTGGAGAACCCTAATGAGCCATTTTCTCAGGATTACCGTCTGGCCTATTAGAGTCCCTGAACATAACTTATGTTATTCTGAACGTAAAATAACTGGCAATCTATTATTCTCAATTCCTTCTTGAGTTTGTGTTATTTTCCAGCTACTGTCATGTTTTTGTTCTCCACACACAAAATCATATACTATTAATAATTCTATTTTTAAGCAAGGATGGTAAAATATTAACATGTCTCTTAAGTAATGTAGATATATTAAAGCAGATGTTAATAATATAAAATGATAAAATATATGTTTAGAGGAAAAATGGCTTGCTTCCTTATTTCAATTATTCTTTTGTTTTTCTTGCTTATAATGTAAATTGTGGTCAAGAAATTATTGATCAATGTCTTATGAAATTTTATTGAAATATACTTACCTGATGCCATGAATATCTGAAATTAATTGGGCAATATTCAAGGATTATAAAACAGTGAAACATCTAGATTTCAATATTTTCTTTATGTAGTTTTCAAGTTCTGTACTTTGATTGGAAATGACTGGTAAATGTTTAACACTGGTTCTTACAAAAAAAAAAAAATCAGTCCTAATTTGGAGTATACAAAGTTCAAGCTGCTAACATGATGTCATGAATGCAGAGTTGGGAAGAGATGTGTCCAGTCATCTCCCTGAGTTGATTGCAAGCAGGCTTCATGAGCAGGCTCCTGTATTGTACTGAGTCCTTGATTATCTGGTCTTACTTTCTTCATATCATAAGCTGTACATACAGCTTATTCTCTGGCTATGGAAATACCTACAGGTTAGTGTGAGAAAAAATACTTTTAAGGGCATGGTTCAGAACTAAGGTAAGATATATTATAGAGACTGGAGTGATCTGGAGAGTTGATTATACCATAAAAATGGTACAACATTTACTCAGCTCTAGAAGACTATCTCTGGAATATATCCAGAATTCATTTTCTGTAAAACCATCTTGATTATGTGTTTCTCCTTTAGAAAAGATACATTTTCATTTATAGTTCCCAAATGACATAATATGTATATAGGTTTTAGCATTCCCTAGAGGCAGTGCCACTCTACACCGGCCAGAGAATTATGGTTTAGTAGGTTGGTGACAAAGAGTTGGAGTTTAATTGAAGTGGTATAGAAATATAATGAAGTTTAAAACATAGTTACCAAACAAGTGAGAAAAATGTAAAACTTTACAAAGTTCAAGGCACTTTCACACATTATCATATATAACGATTCCAAGAAACCTTTGTGAAGTAGGCCACACATTTGAGGAAATATCTGAGAAATACATAACTCTCAAAGGTCCTGGGTCCAGAATATATAAATAACTTTTAAAACTCAATAAACAACAATAAAAACAAACCACCAATAAAAAAATGAACAAAATAATTGAAAGATACTTTGCAAGGGAAGATATGTTAATGTCAATATGCATATGAAAATATGCTCTACATCATTAGTCATAAGGAAAACTCAGATTAAAATCACAGTGAGATACCACTTTACATCCACTAGAATAATGAAAATTAAAAGATTGGCTCTCATTTTTGAATGGGTCAAATTTTAAAGAATACAGCTCAGAATAAAGTCCTAGAGAAGAAAAGACACGATGAAAATATGAGCAGATATAGATGAATTAACCTTTGATAAATGTATTTTCTCTTTAATAGGAAAGAAGGTAGGCATTATGTGCACCAGAGTAGGTATGACTGTATCTGTGGTAGAGTGATAATATCAGAGCTCTTGAAAACACACATTTTCTTGTGGATCTATGAAGGCAGTTTATCACCTGGTAGTGAGAGATGTGAGGGCTATTACAGGTAGTAGAGAAAGTAGAAGCTAACATCTATCCACACTGGAAACAGAAAAAATGGATGTTGTTGGGAAGTTTTGAATCTCCATTTGTGTTTTGGATTATTGTATAGTATTGTGTTTTGTGTAGAGGCAAGATATTGTACTGGTTGAGAAAAGAGTCCATAGCCAGACCACATGAGTTTAGATTCCATCTCTGAAATAAACCATCTTTATAATTTTGAGAAGATCAGAAGTTCTTGTGCTTCTGTTCTATCATTGATAAAATTAGGATACTAACATTACTTAGTCTTTTCTTAATAAAGAAGAAGTAAGTTAATATATGTAAATGTTTAGATAGTTCTAGTATATAATGCTATGTCTGTGTCAATAATAGCAATAGTCCTGGCCATGTTCAGTTGGTCTGGTATGCAAGGAAAAGTACATTGTTACAAAGAATCAGGGTTGGACATTTTTCATGTCAAGACAATGGAAAGTGGAACTTTCAGAAAATATGTTGATGATGTAGAGGGTTTAATAAAATCTTTCAGAAGAGCGGAGAAAGATGTGGATTTGGGGAAAATTAGAGGATATATAGAATGTAATGGAGTACAAATAAAGGTGAAAAGGTATGGATCTAGGACCCTGGAACTTCTGACCTTAAATAAATGGAGCTTAGTAAATGGGTTTAGATCTGGTGGTCTCTTAAAGGAAGATCATTTTAGAGATGACTGTAAGATGGTATTTGTAGCACTCATGTCACTATTCTCTCCTGAAGTCAAGAATAGTTTGCTGGCCTGGAGGAAGGGCAATCCTGATGGGGACATTCAGCATGTGGATGACCTTCAGGTGACCACTCTTTCTGGAAACCATGGGGCAAATTGATCCCCAGAGAATATCCAGAACCAGCCAGCATCTGATATATAGGTCATAATGAATCGTAGCATTTAAATAAATCAATGGATATGAAAATCAAATAAATAATAAGAGGGAAGAGTTCAGAGAACATATTTCTCCTTAGTAATATTGCTAAAGTTATATAAAGCCATCTCATTCTTTAGATAACTTTTAATTTGTATTGATTTCTCTATGGAAATAAGTTCAAAGACTGAAGATTTCCCAAGTATGTCCCCAACATATTTTTTGAGGCTTATAATCTTTTTTCTACTAACATTAGTCAACCCTATAATACATCAAATAATATTCTCCTGACTTTGTCTATTTTACCTTTCCTCTTCTTTCCTTCTTCATTTACTAAGGCCCAGACTACAAAACATATTTCCTTATCTTCAATCAGATATAAAAACATGTATAATTTTGATTATATGTATTTGCTTATTTATTTATATGTTGCTTTTTGCCTTGTATTATGGTTATTTATATTGTTTGTTATCTTCCATATGAACAAACTCTTCTAGAGAAACAGTGTCTTGCTCAGTTTATATACTCTGGATTACGGGTGAATGTATTGTAAATAAAAGAGAATCAAAATATTTATTAAATAGGATTAACTGATTTGGCAGGGGTGGGACCAGGAGAGCTACCATGGATACTCTTCTCACTTCAGCATACTGTCTATCTAAAAACCTACCTCCATAAATTATTATAAAGTAACTTAATAAAGCTCTAGAAATGAACAACAAAGAAACAAAGTGACATACAGTAAAATTCTTGTGTTGTGAGCATCAAGATGCCTCCATTTTTTTTCATTCAAATTACTTCTTTTTAAGAAATATTTTAATAAGATTGTTATCTATTTAACAATACATATGAAAATTTCTTAAACATATCCAACTTATTATATGGAATGTAAAATATAGTTCTCCAGATAGTATTTCATAAGTGTGAAGGTAACTAGAAGATTTTAAAGAAAAATTTGATTGGTCTGTGAAGGTGAAAGGATATAGACATCATAATGAATTATATCTACATAAGTTGCTTTAAGCTATTCCTTAATTACATAATTTCTCACTTTAAGAATGTGCTATAAAAATAAAAATATCTTTGTAGTAGTGTTGATCCTAAGCTTCACATGAAATTTCAAAGAGATCAACATTCTGATCAGTATGTCCTATACTTTCAGTTCAACCTAACTTGCTGCTCCTTTGTGATATAATAATGACAAAGTCATCATTGATAACTATACCTATGCCAAAGCCACTGTCTTTCTGACTTCACCACCAAAGAGCAAAATGATTTCTTCTAAAAACTACAGCAGAAAATTTCAAGATCCATGACTTTTTTTGGTAACAGTAACATATTGAAATTAAGGTGTAGGGAATGGCATATTCATAAATTTCTACAACATTAAAGTTGGTGATTCTCCTGCCTCCAGGCTTCTTCCATATCTTTTGAAGTAGGAACAATGATAAAGGTTTGGTATTTCCTGGCTATCCCAATTGAACTACATATCTGTCAAGCACATGTCTACAAATTACCTTTTTAATCTTCTCCAAGGCCAAATTGTTTCATTTAAACAATGGCTATATATGGTGGACCAGTGATCATTAAACTACCAGATGGACATGCTCTCTTAAGAAATAAAGTAATAATGTTGATATATTTATCTTCCCTTATAGGTTGTGGAATTCTTAAAATCAAAGGACAGGTATTATTATTATTTTTTTACTTTATATTCTTAAATTTATCCATGTTGCTTAGTGGGGTGCTAATTAGAGGTGCCCACAATGAATGTATGTTAACTTTTTGCAGATGTGGAAGCTCCTAGGGGGAAAATAATTGTCTTCTCTTCCTATACTTTTCTTATTTCCCCATTCCCCAACTCCAGAAAAGGATTGAGATGAAATATGACTTCTGTTATATTCAATAAAACCCATTAAAATTATACCCTGTATTAAGTACTCAAAATTAAATATGATGAAAAATAAGGTACTGTACTAGGCCTCTAGCAATTTATGATGTATTATTTTGAAACTGCATATTTAATTCTAATAAATCTATAGTCTACATGACTCAGTTTTTACAGAATTACTTTTTAAAAAGAACATTCAATAAGATCAATTATCTACATGAAAACTTCTGAAAAAATCCATTTTGTCCCAATTTCCATTGAACATAAACTACTCCTCAGATTCACATTCCAAACTCCAAAATATCTATTCTAGTTTTGGACATCTTTGTTCTCTCACACTTTTTTTTTTCTATTTTTAATACATTTATTATATAAAACAGCCTCCCTTACCCCCAGAAAGCAAAAGAAGGAGGGCAATAAATGAGAAAAAAAAATAGAGAAAGTTGGAAAACCTGTGAACCCTCATTAATAATTTTCATACTATCACGTTTTAAATTTTCCTTGCCCCAGTTTAATGCCCTCTTCAACTAGGTTATTGGAGGAAGCATAAAGAAGGGGCAAAAGGGCCAGGTGCGGTGGCTCATGCCTATAATCCTAGCACTCTGGGAGGCCAAAGTGGGAGGATTGCTCAAGATCAGGAGTTCGAAACCAGCCTGAGCAAGAGCGAGACCCCGTCTCTACTATAAATAGAAATAAATTAATTGGCCAACTAATATATATAGAAAAAATTAGCCAAGCATGGTGGCGTATGCCTGTAGTCCCAGCTACTTGGGAGGCTGAGGCAGTAGGATTGCTTGAGCCCAGGAGTTTGAGGTTGCTGTGAGCTAGGCTGACGCCATGGCACTCACTCTAGCCTGAGCAACAAAGTGAGACTCTGTCTCAAAAAAAAAAGAAGAGGCAAACGAGATATTCTTCAATATAATACAAATGAACCAAATAAGCAAAACTTTATATTCCACTATATAGTTCATAATTCTAATAAGTTTCAAACGAACATTTCCACTTAGCTCTTAATTTCTTATAAAAGGGCTAACCAAAATTGTACATTGAAGATCACATTTTGATTGATATATCTTTTGCCTTTTAAAATAATATTAACCACCAATAGTAGTCTAAAATTTAAGTAAATCTAAGAAAAAAACTTTTTTTTTTTTTTTTTTTTTTTTTACTTTTCAGGACTTTATTTAGTTTTGAGGACCAAACACTGAGTGCTGTAAATTCCCAGGCTTTTGACTCCAACTCCAACAATAGTTTTTCACCTTCAAAATATTTTGTTTTTCTTTTCTGGAATGTCAATCATCTTCATACTTTTTGGTTACATCTTCAAGTCACGCATTTGTGCTATTTCATTCCTGTGTATCTTCCCAGCAAGCATGTTGTGTTGTCTTTATCCTGAAGAAGTTTATTCCACTCCTCAAGGACTTTTTTCTCTTCTCTCAAAGCAATTTCTTCCTCTTGAAGAGCAATTTTTTCTTGTCTAAGAGCCTTGTTCTCCTCACGAAGGGCCTGTTCCTCCTTCCACAGAGCCTGTTCTTCCATCTCTAGAGCTATTCCCTCCTTCATCAGGGCCTGTTCCTCCAGTCTGATTGCTGCCTCCTGGTGTTGTAGGGCCTTGATCTGTTCATGGAGAGATTGTATTTCTTCATGAAGAGCTCTGGCCTCATTCCGGAAGGCTTTCTCCTGCTCCCAGAGAGCCTTGACCTGAGCCTCCAGGGCTTGATTCTGTTTCCAATAAGACTTTCTTTCACTGTTCAAGGCACTGATTTTTTTTCCAAATGCTTTTTGGCTCTCGAAAATCACACTTTTATACTTCCAGAGGATCTGATTTTGTTGTCGCAGTAATTGATTCCTCTCCCAGATTAACTGATTGTTCATTCGGAAGGCTTTATTTTCTTGTTGAAGAGCTTTGTTTTCTTCCCAGAGTGATTTGTTTTCTTTTCTAAGAGACTTGTTCTCATCTCTGGACACCTTATTATTCCTACAAGAATTTTTTGTCGTTTCGTGAGCTTCATGTATGAACTTATTTTGATCTTGAATACAAGAGGATAAAAAAGAAAAAAAACACAGTATTTTTCTTTTATTTATCCACTTTGATTCAGAGACAACCATTGTTTCTTATTGTTTTAACTGAGCAAACTATATACATATATTCCAGGTGTGCCAGATTCAACCAAAGGTAAACTAATGACATTTGCAATGGAAAAAGTCCGAGATTTGTTGAGAATTTTGTTCATATAGAATTAGCTGTTGTGTTGACTTGCCCAAGGAATAATAAGGCAAAAATCAGGAATCTACATAAGGATCCGTCAGGCCCACTGGAAGAGAAAGCAGTTAAAATATGAATAGAAATTGCCCATCAATTCTTGAGTGGATTAATAAAATGTGGTGTATATATATAGTATGGAATACTACTCAGCCACAAAGAAGGATGGATTAAGGCCTTTTGTAACAATTTGGATGAAACTGGAGACCTTATCCTAAGTGAAGTATCTAAAGAATGGAAAACAAACACCACATGTACTCACTATTAAATTGGAATTAACTAATAAATCAAGCAGGGAGGAGGGGGAAAAGGGGGATTGGCAAAATCCTACCTAATGGGTACAATGAACGCTATCTGGGTGATAGGCACACTTATAGCCATGACTCAAGCATAACAAAACCAATCCATTTAACCAAAAACATTTTTGCCCACTTAATATTTTGAAATAATTATAAAAAAGTACAATTGGGTAACCTTCGATGTATGTATAAACTTGTGAATCCATTACCACAATAAAAATAATAAACATATCCATCCTTCCAAAATTCACCTTGTCCTTCCATATCCCATTGTAAATCCTTTGTTTTGCTTTTTCCTATACCCATTCGCAGGCAACCAGCGATCCAATTTCTGTCACTATACATTAGTTTGCATTTCCTCGAATTTTATATAAATAGATCATACAGTATGTGCCTTTTTTTTTGGCTTGGTTTCTTTCACTCAGTATAATTATTTTTAGATTCATCTATCTTGTTGCATATATCAGGTGCTCATTCCTTATTATTGCTGAATAGCGTCCCAATGTATGGATACATTATGCCTTATTTATCCATTCATCCGTTAAGAGACATTTATGTTATTTCTAGCTTGGGCTATTAAAAATAAAGATGCTGTGAGAATTCTTGTAAAAAAATGAATAAAAAACAAGAAATTGACTATTAGGTTGATATCCAAATTGAGTTTAAGACTTATCACATATAAATTAAAAATAATAACTTTATTCTAGATTCCAAATTGAATTGATTAAGATTAATACATTGAATTGTTATATGTGTGTCTACGCTAAACTATTTCTACTAAACTATTAATCTTCCAGTAATCAATGAATTTTCTATAAATATATCTTAATTGATATGAAAATATACAATGTATTTTAAAAACATTTATAACTATTTAAAAACATTTTATATAAGAACTAGAAAACATTTTAAAGAAGTTATTATATACTATAATGCTTATAACATTTACTTAGATTATTAGTAGTGTTATTAAATCTTTAAACAGAGAGTCACACTTACGTTTCTGTAATCTCTAAATTCCCTACAAGCTTGATTCCTTTTAACACCTGAAAACAACTAGGCAACATTTTATGTCATCTATAGTGATGTCATTTAGTGTTGACAGTAATGATATAATAGGTGCTATATATAGTATTTGGCTGGTTTTGTAGCATGTATTTTAAGGAAAAATTAAATGTAATTTAATAAACAAGGTTACATTTGATGTTATTGTTTGTTATTAAATGAATATCTATATAGTCCTTGCTTCTATCTAAATTATTAACATTGATTTAAAACACTAATTTTTGTTATTAGCAAAATAGCTCATAATTATTGGATGCTGGGAATTAACAAGTATTGGAAAATACTGTCTATAACAAAAGTGAAAATATTTTAAATAATTTTAAGATCACAGCTGAATAATTAGTATTAGGTAAATTTGTATGTTATACTAACGAAAAACACTGAAAAATTGTTAATTACAGTAATTCAATCTCAAATAGATTTTATATTATCTTGTGTATATTATGTTCGCTGATAGAACAATAACAATAAAATACTGACGTTTATAATTTTTTCAAAAATGTAATATTTTCGTGAGATATGATAATATTTAAATAATTGTGATGAGTGAAATATCCATTTTATAATCTCCATCAACAACCTAACTGAGAAAATACATTATGTGAATATGCACCAGCTTCTTTATGCCAGTCTTTCTGCTATTGTGTTCCTGCTACCATGGTAGCTAAAAACTCAGAAATAGTTCTAAGAAACATAGAACTCTGTGTATTCTGTATTAGAATGTTGTGATTCCTGAACTTTAAGGATAAACTGGAAAGCAAGCAGAAAATGTCTGTTCCCTTGGATGTACTAAACAAATTGAATTCATAATTTAACAGTTTACGATAAATAAACTGCAAAACCATGACTTCATCAGTAAATTTTTCCAAATTTTTTTAAAAGTTTAAAATTTACTTTTATTAACATTTTTAATTGACAAATTCTACTTGTATACATTGTGAGGTATAATGTGATATTTTGATACATAAATGTAATGTAAAATGATTAAATCAAGCTAATTAACATATCTAAATATTTTAAAAACAAATAATAATATTTCAATGAATGCTTTTAGTTGATAGAAAAGAAATGAAAAACTTGCTGTTTTGAAACTACCTTACCGTGACATAAAAACCAGACAAGAATATTACAAAAAAGGAAAACTATAGCCTATCTCATGAACACAGATGTGAAAATCCTAAACAAAAGATTAGAACACCAAATTCAGTGATGCATAAAATAAATAACATATCACCAATAACATTTATAAATGCAATATAGAGTTAACAGTGGGAAATGTATTAATGTAATTCACTACATTAACAGAACAAAGGGGAAAACTTTGATCTCATGACAAGATGAGAAAAGTCATTTCAGTAGATTAAGAAAAAGTATCTGATAAAACAAAAATAAACAAACAGGTAGTTAAAAACCAAAACCAACCAGTATCACTACTATAGTTTGAATGTTTGTCCACTCCGAAACATAATCTCCAATGTGGTAGTATTAAAAGGTTTGGCCTGTAAGAGGTGATTAATTCATTCATGGGTTAATGGATGAATGCATTAAAAGATTCATGAATTATCACTAATGTGGCTTTATATTAACAAAAGGAGGAAGAAGACCTGAGCTAACATGCTTAACCCTCTTACCCTGTGATGCCTTCCACCATATTATGAAGTAGTTCAAGGGCCTCACCAGAAATTGACCAGATTCAGCCTTTGAACCTTGGATTTTCTAAACTCCAGACCTATAAGAAATAAATTTCTTTTCTTTATAAATTATCTAGTCTTAGACATTCGGTTATAGCAAACAAACAAACAAAGCACAAAACACAACCACAAAATTCCTCTTAGTCTACTAGGAGTAAAAAGAAATTTTTGAAATTCAATTATGAGTTAAGAAAAAGGCAAAATGTAGAAGCATAAGATGATGAGAAACTAATAGACCAGGAATATGTAAAGGTGCCCACAATTTTCACTGTGCTGGAGTTTCTCACTACTACAATTAGACAATATAAAAAATTAAATTTATGTAAAGATTTGGGAAAAAAATAAGTTCTCACTATTTGTAAATATTATTGTAAATATTTAAAATAAAAAATATGCTATAGTTAAGCTATTTTAAAGTTAAATATCATTTAGCAGACTTTTTGGATGTCAAAATGAAATTAATTTGCATATATTCACATGACAATTACAAAGTGAATTTTATGATTTCATATTGTTTAAATTGACAGTGAAAACAAAATACCTAGAAATAAATCTATGCAAGACCTATGAACAGAAAAAAAACTGCAGTATTGAAAGCAATTGTAAATATATAAATAACAAAGAATAGACTGTGTTATGATCAGAATATTTAACATTGGAAAGATACGTCCATACAAATTGACTTATATTTTCAATGGGTTCCCATGAAAAATAATCACAGCAGTGTGTGTGTGTGTGTGTGTGTGTGTGTGTGTGTAAGAGTAAATCAAAAAGCTGATTCTAAAATTTCTATTGAAATGCAACAGGCTGGGCCGACTGACACCTGTGATCCTAGGACTCTGGAATCCAAGGCTGGAGGATCACTTGAGCTCAGGAATTCAAGACCAGCAGGAGCAAGAGTGAGACCTGTCTCCACTAAAAATAGGAAAAAAAAAATAGACAGGTGTGATGGTGTGTCCCTGTAGTCCCAGCTACTCAGGAGGCTGAGGTAGGAGGACCACTTGGGCCCAGGAGTTTGAGGTTACTGTGAGCTAAGTTTATGCCACAGTACTGTATGTAGCCCAGGCAACAGATCAAGACTCTGTCAAAAAAAAAAAAGAAAGAAAGAAAGACGAAGAAAGAAAGAAAGAAAGAAAGAAAAGAAGATAGAGAAGACGGAAAGAAGAAAGAAGAAAGAAAGAAAGAAAGAAAGAATATTGAGAGGAAAAGAGGAGAGCCAACTTTAAAAAAAGCTATAGTAAACCAAATTGTGTAGTGTCAATTTAAGGATAGATAAGTAAAAAAGAATTTGATCAAAATAGGAAGATCAGAATTGGACCCACATATTCTAACACTTGTTACATAGAACAACACTGATGAATTTCCACAAACAATGAAACCAAGTAAAATAGACTACATTTGATATGATTTCATTTAAATAAGTCCAAAATCATGTAATAATACATGGCATTCATGTCAGAGTAGAAATTTCTTCTGAGAGGCAGGGATTTGTAATGATGAGGTGCCGATAGTGTTCAATTTTTAGTGCTATGTGGGCATTTCATGAATTTCTTTATTTTTTGATAATTCAGTGAGCAGCACACATGATTTATATACTTTTATGTTTGTATGATTTACTTAAACAAAAATATTAGTCTAAAAAGGCAACTTCAGAATATATTTATCTGTATATTTAAGTGTATTTGTATTTGATCATTTTGTATAGAAGTCTGTCACTTGTTAGCAGTGTTATCTCAGGAAATTTGTTAACTTTTTTCTCTTGAAGTTTCACCAAGTCTATAGTAGGGAACACCTGATCATTTTCTTATGAGAATGCAATGAATCAAAATCATCATCACCATCATCATCATCATCATCATCATCATCGTCATCAGTATTTTTAGTCTTTTTCATCAAATCATAATTTCATTGATTATGTTGAAAAGAACTCTCTAGAATATCTTTACATCTGTATTAAATGTCATTGGTATTGTTAACTCCAGTAACTTGCTTCACAAAATTTACTGTTTTGAGATTTTTCTAAAATTTCTTGTTAATTTATTTTTTCCATTATGGATAAATGAATTATTTCAGATCTTTTTAGATAAACTACAAATGTCACGGCAGCCTCACCTTTGGTACATCTTAAATAAATTAATTAGAAAGGCCACAGAAATAAAGTGATTCCTTGGATATTAATTACTTAGTAATATTAATTACTAAGATGCAGACAAGATGAAAGGAAAGTAAATGTTGTATGTGATAAAAACATGGTTTTAGAAAGGAAAATTTCCAACCACATAGATATTTCTAAGTACCTGTTTTTCAATTTGTACAGGAATTATCTAGTTTCAGAATTTTAATTTATTTCAACAAGTTGACAAGTTCAATTTTTTTTTAGCATTGGAATAGTGTTTCATACAGTATAATTTCAGAATATCGGTTATTGCAGAACACAGTGAAAGTTCAAAATTATGCCTTCAGGAAGCTTCCCACAACTGGTCAAGAATCATACAGCATCATTTGAAAGTCAACATGACTTACTTTATTTGCTTTATAAGTTGAAGGCCTAGCATGTATGATTGCATAAAAACACTTTATGAATTGATAAAAAAAATCTAGTTGTTTATGAAAACGGCATTCTAGAATTATAATGTCTTAACATTAAAACTAGTTCAGCCTGCCCCTGCCTTTCTACTTCTAAGGACTTAAATATTCTCTCTGGGAATGAGCTGTCTCTGCTATAAAAGTCAGCCTAGATGACTCATATCTAAAGTAAACTCTAATCATCACACAGTGAACAGTCATAGGAACATCAGGTTCAAGACCCCAGAGACACTTAGGGAAAGGAGGGTGCAGTCTTAAAGTCTTGGGTTGTTTTTAAATCTTAAATATCATTATGTTCCACAAGGTATTTGAGTTCTTACGACTGAGAAACTAGCCCAAGGGAAACAAAGGACAAGCAGGAATCAAGTATGATAAATATGGTATTGTTGGGGTTTTAAGGAACCTTTTCCAAATAGCACTCTTATAGGCTGAATTGTGTTTTCCAGAATGTATATGCTGCACTCCAACTTCCAGTAATTCTGAATGTGGCTATATTTGGAAATAGGATCTTAAATGATGTTATTAAGGTAAAATGAGGTGATCTGAGTGGGCCCTAATCCATATGAATTAGTATCCTTTTAAAAATAGGAAATGTGGATACAGTTGGGGAGACCATCTACAATCCCTAAAAGAAGAGTCAGAGGAAATTAGTCCTGTCAATATCTTGATCTTGGACATACTGCATCTTGGACTATGACTTTCCTGTTGTTTAAATTACCTAGCCTGTGGTACTTTGTTATGTGAACTAAAATGCTCAAACCCTACCGGCTGACTGAATGGACACCCTCGTGCCCAGAGGAATATTCAAGGGCAAAGTTGCCTGCCAGGAGGAGGGAGGTCAGAAGACAGGCCTTATCATGCCCCCCTCCCTTCTTGGAGACTTCCTTTGTAACCCACTAACAGGCCTAAGGGTATGTAAGACAAACCTGCAGGCTTTCAATTTGCAACAAATGGTAGCTTTTCTCTGGTAAACAGTTTATGTTAAAACATTCCATGTCTTCAGACAAAGCTTCATGTCTTTAGCCAATTACAATCTAAAGAATCTTTAAACCCACCTATAACCTCTAAGCTCCCCCCCTCCTCCCCCGCTTTGAGATGGCCCTCCTTTTTGGGCCAAACCAATGTATGCCTCCCACACATTGATTGATGGCTTTACCCATAACCCTTGTCTCTAAAATGTATAAAAACCAAACTGTAACCCAGCCACAGCGAGTCCACTTGCCCAAGGCCTCTTGGCAGTGGCTCCGGGTCATGGTCCTCAAATTTGGCTCAGAATAAATCTCTTTAAAATTATTTTGCAGACTTGGCTTTTTTCCGTCGACAGTTACAACAGCTCTAGCAAACTAATAGAAACATCATTCTTCCCTACTTACCTTCTGAAAAAATTTGACCTGTGAAACTTGAATCAATAGGAAGAAATTGACCATCAACAGGTTGATATTGGCACTTCTATCAGGTCATAGCTGTCTATTCTTGGTTTTTGGTGTGCTCTTGGCTGAGGAATGACCAGACACACCAAAAGCAAGGCAAGTGTGAAACAAAGTTTGTTGAGAAGGACAACACAGGTTTACAAAGTAAGAGCAAGATCTGTTTGCCACAAATGACAAAGAGACCTGCTGTTGTAACAAGAGGCTCTAGTAATGGTCTAGGGTCTTTTTTATATAGTGTCTGAATTGGGCCCTCCTCATGGTTCAGATGTCCCTGCTGAATCACTTTGATGAACAGTTAATGACATGATAATTAGCCTTAGGTTACTCTAGGTCACCTTCCAGACCCTATTGTACCTATGGTGCTTGGCCCACTGAGTAGGGAATCCTCTACATTCTTTTGCAGTTGGTGCACTAAATTCTGATTGACAGGTTGTTAGGGCATTGTTCCCTCCTCCCCCAGGTGTGGTAATTGCTCAGGGAGCTCCCCTTTTTTCCAAAATGGCTGGAAGTCTCTCACTGTCTACCTAACACTCTCACATTAACATTTTGCATAATCTTCTAATTTCCATTTCTCCTTTGAGTCCCAGATTCTAAAACCTCGTTTCACTTTGGGCTCTCTCTAGGTACCCACTATTCACATTCCCTCATTAGTATTTCCAGTCTCACAGTATAGTGGTCTATTTCTTCTGCTGCCTCTTATGGAACTATTTATGCCTAAGAAATCTGCCTCCTAAGGGGGTATGTTTCTTATATGAAGTTAACCAATTCAGAACCAACTTTAGTTCATGTAGTTCTTTGCACTAGCCAGAAGACTCAGAGAATACCTATTTGGGGCTTCCTTCTTGTCTTGGAATATTTTTTAAAAAAGAATTTTAGCTGATAATTTAGCTCTACTCATGTAGGCTTGGCATTAACAAATTAGAGCTAGAACTTTCTTGGTGCTCTTAAGTACACACAGAATTCAGCTGCCACATGGTATAAAATCAGCAAGGAGTTTGACAATGTCTAAAAGAATTCTAAAGGAGTATGATGCTCTTTTGCCAAAAACATTTATCTTTACTTCATCGATTCCTGCTTAGGAAATGCTGGACTTGGAGTCTAAGTAGTGAAAGCATGCATGCTGAAGCTACCTGTACCAGCTAGAGGTACAGGTGTTAGTTTGTAAGGTAAGAAATAATCTAGCCTTTTCAGAGGGTAGCCTTGAAGCCTCTATGTCTTTTGCTTGCTAAGTCCCCAGACTTTGCTTATCAGACCTTGGTTAGGTTCTGCTGGTGGATAAGCCCCACCAGGTCTGTATTACAGAGCACTGCAGTGCCTTAAGTGGCCCCTAGTGAGCATTTTCTGAGGCCTGAGTGACAGTCAAGCTTAGAGATGTCCAACATTTCTCCTGAAAGCACAGGCATCTTACTTTGCTTAAGTCCCTGTAGTCACCATTTAGCTGGATCAAGTATCTTTCTCAAAAATAAAAAGCCAAATGCTCACCTGTAAAAATATCACCTGTATAAATATAAGCCTCTCCCAAGGTTAAAAGATTCGGCCCGTAAACTGAAATCCAAGACTAAATGTCATATATCCTGTACACAGGAGTAGCCTTAATCATATCCCTAAATTACTAGTTTTGTTTTATTATTTAAAATATCTAACAAATACACCAAAGTTTAAAGTCTCTGAAATTCGCTGCTCAAAACTGCAAATATCCAGGGAGGGATATGACCTTGCATAACATAAACTATTCAGGAAATCAGTTAATAGTAGCTGCTCTCTCTGGATAAGAGAGCTTATCCATACAAATTTGAGATAAATTTCACCTTCCCAAGGCAGAATGAGTAAAATGGTGTTGAAAGTCCAAAATGTACACTGAAAAGCTTC